TAAAAAAAAAAAAAAAAAAAAAAAATTCCGGCCGGCCGGCCGAACCGGACGGACCGGTTCCGACCGGCCGTCGTTTCCGGACGGCTTTCTTGCCGTCCGGCCGGCCGGTTCGGACGGCAGCCGTCCGTCCGGCCGTGCTTTCCGGCCGGTTTTGACGTCGTCCGGCCGGCCGTTCCGGACGGTTTAAGGACCGTCCGGTTCCGACGTCTGGACGGCTTTTAGTCCGTCCGGAACCGGCGACCGTACACGTATTTTTTCGTACCTCCGAATTTGACGACATTTCACCGTACACTTTCCTCTGAGATGTTTAGAAAAAATGAAAAGGGCAAAATTGTCCAAGGGGGGCGGTGACTAGTAATATGGGGGGCGGTGAATAGTAACGCGCATTGTAGATTCGTTCGGCCTTTTGCATTGACGGTGTTAAATGCCGAAAAGCAACCGCAACTTGCACAAACCCCACGCGTTTTCCACGAGATCCCACTTTTAAGTTGAAACCTAGTGGCGTGGTTTTCACGCTAGACTGATAAAGCGTTTCCACGTTTTTCTGTCTTTATATGCAACAAAACCCAGCGCTTTCAACTTCTCTCCCCCCTTTAAAATCCAAGCCGATAACCCCAAAACTCTGTTAATCACTATCAGAAAGTGTGAGCGTGTGTGAGTGTGAGAGATTTGATAAGAATGTCTGGCGGAATTGCGCGCGGTCGTCTCACAGAGGAACGCAAAGCTTGGAGGAAGAATCATCCCCATGTTTGATCTCTTCTTTTAGCAATTACTTTTCAATTTGGCGGCTAAATCATAACTGTTCACTTCCCCTGTTGATTTTGGTTGTTTACGTGATGGGTTCTGAGTTTGATGGCCTTTTTTGTATTTTTCTGAGAAGGGTTTTGTGGCTAAACCAGAGACGCTGCCTGATGGTACTGTGAATTTGATGGTGTGGCACTGCACTATTCCTGGTAAGGCCGGGGTAAGTATCGCACGCACTTGCTGTTCTGATTTATTTGAGTTCTTGAATGATATCATCGAAACATGAAATTCGTATGGTATGGTTCTATGTTCTGAGTTTTACTTAGGCTTTTAGGTTTACTTGTCTATGAGGAAAAATAGTTTTGTGTGTTTGTTCTTTATAGCTAATGTCAAAGGCATACATGTAGGTTAACTGTTACGGAGTCCTTGCACTCCACGATTGTTGATTGTCTTGGGATCTTATAATGGAATGATGTGGATTGATGTGATCATAAGTATCTTTAGAAAAAAATGAGATTTACAAACCTGGTGCGTTTTGTATTGCTCACAGTAATAGCACTAAGAATTTAGTTTAGAGTTTCAGTGAAGTGCACAGCTTTCTGATGAGAGGTTGTGGTTTTGATTTGACCTTGTTTTGTTATGTTGAATTGTTTTAGAAATCTTTATTGGCAGATTAGGTTGTTCCACATGAATGGATACTCTCTGTGTTTCTCAGCCCATTTGGAGGGATTGCATCTCATAATTGAATTGAAAACGAAGGATAAGTTACAAAATGTGTGAAGCATCATCTGTTGGTTTAATTTTTAAAACTGTAAAGTAGATGGGCTGCTTTTTCTTAACTATTTT